TGGTTACATCATTGAATTTGTCAAAAATCGGCCTCATTTTCGTGGTCGAGATTTTGATGCCGACCGACAGGCTGGATCCCTAGGATCCTGGGAGAGTAGGTCCTTCGCCGATCTGGCCGTATTTGCCTGAGATATAGCCTTCCGAAGAAGTGGATTTGCATTTCATGCAAATACTGGTTTGTTCTGCAGGCTATATCTCGGCTACACAGTGGCCGATCTGGGCGCGGCATGTCTTTTCGTGAGCGGGAGAGTCCTGCCAACCGATTGGCATCAGAAAAAAGGACATCGAGCTCATCACGATTTTCGCAAAAAATCATGATGGTTACATCATTGAATTTGTCAAAAATCGGCCTCATTTTCGTGGTCGAGATTTTGATGCCGACCGACAGGCTGGATCCCTAGGATCCTGGGAGAGTAGGTCCTTCGCCGATCTGGCCGTATTTGCCTGAGATATAGCCTTCCGAAGAAGTGGATTTGCATTTCATGCAAATACTGGTTTGTTCTACAGGCTATATCTCGGCTACACAGTGGCCGATCTGGGCGCGGCATGTCTTTTCGTGAGCGGGAGAGTCCTGCCAACCGATTGGCATCAGAAAAAAGGACATCGAGCTCATCACGATTTTCGCAAAAAATCATGATGGTTCATCATTGAATTTGTCAAAAATCGGCCTCATTTTCGTGGTCGAGATTTTGATGCCGACCGACAGGCTGGATCCCTAGGATCCTGAGAGAGTGGGTCCTTCGCCGATCTGGCCCTATTTGCCTGAGATATAGCCCTCGGAAGAAGTGGATTTGCATTTCATTTCATGCAAATACTGGTTTGTTCTGCAGGCTATATCTCGGCTACACAGCGGCCGATCTGGGCGTGGCATGTCTCTTCGTGATCGGGAGAGTCCTGCCAACCGATTGGCATCAGAAAAAAGGACATCGAGCTCATCACGATTTTCGCAAAAAATCATGATGGTTACATCATTGAATTTGTCAAAAATCGGCCTCATTTTCGTGGTCGAGATTTTGATGCCGACCGATAGGCTGGATCCTCGCGATCCTGAGAGAGTGGGTCCTTCGCCGATCTGGCCCTATTTGCCTGAGATATAGCCTTCCGAAGAAGTGGATTTGCATTTCATGCAAATACTGGTTTGTTCTGCAGGCTATATCTCGACTATTGATGGGCCGATCTGGGCGCGGCATGTCTTTTCGATCCTGAGAGAGTGGGTCCCTCGCCGATCTGGCCCTATTTCCCTGAGATATAGCCTTCCGAAGAAGTGGATTTGCATTTCATGCAAATACTGGTTTGTTCTGCAGGCTATATCTCGGCTACACAGTGGCCGATCTGGGCGCGGCATGTCTTTTCGTGAGCGGGAGAGTCCTGCCAACCGATTGGCATCAGAAAAAAGGACATCGAGCTCATCACGATTTTCGCAAAAAATCATGATGGTTACATCATTGAATTTGTCAAAAATCGGCCTCATTTTCGTGGTCGAGATTTTGATGCCGACCGATAGGCTGGATCCTCGCGATCCTGAGAGAGTGGGTCCCCCGCCGATCTGGCCCTATTTGCCTGAGATATAGCCTTCCGAAGAAGTGGATTTGCATTTCATGCAAATACTGGTTTGTTCTGCAGGCTATATCTCGACTATTGATGGGCCGATCTGGGCGCGGCATGTCTCTTCGTGATCGGGAGAGTCCTGCCAACCGATTGGCAACAGAAAAAAGGACATCGAGCTCATCACGATTTTCGCAAAAAATCATGATGGTTACATCATTGAATTTGTCAAAAATCGGCCTCATTTTCTTAGCCGAGATTTTGATGCCGACCGATAGGCTGGATCCTCGCGATCCTGAGAGAGTGGGTCCTTCGCCGATCTGGCCCTATTTGCCTGAGATATAGCCTTCCGAAGAAGTGGATTTGCATTTCATGCAAATACTGGTTTGTTCTGCAGGCTATATCTCGACTATTGATGGGCCGATCTGGGCGCGGCATGTCTCTTCGTGATCGGGAGAGTCCTGCCAACCGATTGGCAACAGAAAAAAGGACATCGAGCTCATCACGATTTTCGCAAAAAATCATGATGGTTACATCATTGAATTTGTCAAAAATCGGCCTCATTTTCGTGGTCGAGATTTTGATGCCGACCGACAGGCTGGATCCTCGCGATCCTGAGAGAGTGGGTCCCTCGCCGATCTGGCCCTATTTGCCTGAGATATAGCCTTCCGAAGAAGTGGATTTGCATTTCATGCAAATACTGGTTTGTTCTGCAGGCTATATCTCGGCTACACAGTGGCCGATCTGGGCGCGGCATGTCTTTTCGTGATCGGGAGAGTCCTGCCAACCGATTGGCAACAGAAAAAAGGACATCGAGCTCATCACGATTTTCGCAAAAAATCATGATGGTTACATCATTGAATTTGTCAAAAATCGGCCTCATTTTCGTGGTCGAGATTTTGATGCCGACCGACAGGCTGGATCCCTAGGATCCTGAGAGAGTGGGTCCTTCGCCGGTCTGGCCGTATTTGCCTGAGATATAGCCTTCCGAAGAAGTGGATTTGCATTTCATGCAAATACTGGTTTGTTCTGCAGGCTATATCTCGACTATTGATGGGCCGATCTGGGCGCGGCATGTATCTTCGTGATCGGGAGAGTCCTACCAACCGATTGGCATCAGAAAAAAGGACATCGAGCTCATCACGATTTTCGCAAAAAATCATGATGGTTACATCATTGAATTTGTCAAAAATCGGCCTCATTTTCTTAGCCGAGATTTTGATGCCGACCGATAGGCTGGATCCTCGCGATCCTGAGAGAGTGGGTCCTTCGCCGATCTGGCCCTATTTGCCTGAGATATAGCCTTCCGAAGAAGTGGATTTGCATTTCATGCAAATACTGGTTTGTTCTGCAGGCTATATCTCGACTATTGATGGGCCGATCTGGGCGCGGCATGTCTCTTCGTGATCGGGAGAGTCCTGCCAACCGATTGGCATCAGAAAAAAGGACATCGAGCTCATCACGATTTTCGCAAAAAATCATGATGGTTACATCATTGAATTTGTCAAAAATCGGCCTCATTTTCGTGGTCGAGATTTTGATGCCGACCGATAGGCTGGATCCTCGCGATCCTGAGAGAGTGGGTCCCTCGCCGATCTGGCCCTATTTGCCTGAGATATAGCCTTCCGAAGAAGTGGATTTGCATTTCATGCAAATACTGGTTTGTTCTGCAGGCTATATCTCGGCTACACAGTGGCCGATCTGGGCGCGGCATGTCTTTTCGTGAGCGGGAGAGTCCTGCCAACCGATTGGCATCAGAAAAAAGGACATCGAGCTCATCACGATTTTCGCAAAAAATCATGATGGTTACATCATTGAATTTGTCAAAAATCGGCCTCATTTTCGTGGTCGAGATTTTGATGCCGACCGACGGGCTGGATCCCTAGGATCCTGGGAGAGTAGGTCCTTCGCCGATCTGGCCGTATTTGCCTGAGATATAGCCTTCCGAAGAAGTGGATTTGCATTTCATGCAAATACTGGTTTGTTCTGCAGGCTATATCTCGACTATTGATGGGCCGATCTGGGCGCGGCATGTCTCTTCGTGATCGGGAGAGTCCTGCCAACCGATTGGCATCAGAAAAAAGGACATCGAGCTCATCACGATTTTCGCAAAAAATCATGATGGTTACATCATTGAATTTGTCAAAAATCGGCCTCATTTTCGTGGTCGAGATTTTGATGCCGACCGACAGGCTGGATCCCTAGGATCCTGGGAGAGTGGGTCCTTCGCCGATCTGGCCGTATTGGCCTGAGATATAGCCTTCCGAAGAAGAGGATTTGCATTTCATTTCATGCAAATACTGGTTTGTTCTGCAGGCTATATCTCGGCTACACAGCGGCCGATCTGGGCGTGGCATGTCTCTTCGTGATCGGGAGAGTCCTGCCAACCGATTGGCATCAGAAAAAAGGACATCGAGCTCATCACGATTTTCGCAAAAAATCATGATGGTTACATCATTGAATTTGTCAAAAATCGGCCTCATTTTCGTAGCCGAGATTTTGATGCCGACCGATAGGCTGGATCCTCGCGATCCTGAGAGAGTGGGTCCTTCGCCGATCTGGCCCTATTTGCCTGAGATATAGCCTTCCGAAGGCTATATTGCCCATTAATAAATACTTACCTTACTTTCCTCCGCCATTTCTGGTCCGATCATTGCGTGCAGCGCCTAATTGTAATAGAGAGAACATCGCTGATCTTACGGGGGCATCAAGGACAATAAGGATATTGCCTGCTTAGCGTTTTATCGCGAAAACTACATTTGTCATCCGATCTGGACGTGCCACGCCTCCTGGTAATGGGAAGAATGCCCCAGAGGTTTGAAACCCAGATTGACAGTAAGAACGATAAGGATACTGCATTGTAAACGCTAATTTTTATTCGATCTTCAATGAAATAGCTATAGCTTCTCCATTCCTCGTACGATCTGGGCGTGTCACGCCTCATAGTACTCAGGGGAATGCCCAAAATTTCGGCATAAGGATATTGTCTTTTGAACGTTAGATAATTGGTCAGCGCAAAAGCATGCCTCATATTGTTAGAAAATGTTAGCCAGCCCAAAAGTACTCTATTTTTGTAATTTGTATAGGACAAATCTCCTTTATCGACTGGAATACATTTGATCTTGGAGAGGGACCAATTGATTCTGAACCTTGCTGATACAGAGAAAAATGTAGCTGGCTATCCAGGATGCATATCCCAGATTTTCAACTAACGGATAGTAAGAATATCCTTTTGTATTTTCTGACCGTCAAAACCCTGATGCCTGAAGCAGGACAAACGAGGATAGAGTTGGTTTTAGATCTATGTACTTTTTTATAATTTATCTTAAACTATTTTCTATGCCTATACTGTAAATTTTGGGAAAATCCGTGAAATTTCTGCGTCTTAAATGCAAGTTCTAGTGAATTAAATATTGTTAAACTTAGAATCCAACGCAATCTTCTGGTTCGATGTTTAAGATTCAGCTTGGATTTCGCGGACCAGTCGAGCGACGAGTTCACAGCACGCCTTTTGTCTGTTCTTGGCGACGGACATGACCTCTTCGTGGGTAGCCTCCTCGTCCTTCATGTCGCTGTACTCGGTGGAGCACTTGTTAGTGATCAGGCTGAAAGCGAACACCTTCATGTCGCAGTGCCGGGCAGTGATGACCTCGTGCACCGTGGACATACCCACAGCGTCGACGCCCATCATGCGGAGCGCCTTCAGCTCGGCAATGGTCTCGTAGGTGGGTCCGCCGAGGCAGGAGTACACGCCCACATGCATGTTCGACTCGATTCCCATGGATTTGCCGATCTCGAGGGCCTTGTTGATAAGGTCCTTGTTGTAAGAGTTGACAAGGGCTGGAAAGCGTGGCCCGAAGCGAGGATCGTTGGGTCCCTGCAGCGGAGAATTACCGGCAAAGCCCAGCATGTTGACGTGGTCATGCATAAGCATGATGTCACCCACCGCATACTTGGGGTTGATACCGCCAGCCGCATTGGTGGCGAACAGGTACTCCACTCCGCACAGCTTCATCACGCGCACCGGCATGGAGCACTTGGCCAGGGGATAGCCCTCGTAGAAGTGGAACCGTCCCTGCATGGCCATCACAATGGCGCCCTCCAGATGGCCGACGACCAGCTTGCCGGCATGACCCTCCACCGTTGACACCGGGAAGTTGGGGATCTTCTCGTACTCGAAGATCTTGGCATCCGTTATGATGTCGGCTAGCGAGCCGAGTCCCGACCCGCAAATGATGCCGATCTTGGGCCGCATGCCAGCGCCCTTCACAATGAAGTCGGCGATTTCCTGGATAACCTCATATGGATACCTGTCAAGAGTCGTAGGGATGTGGGGATTAGTGAATGGCTAATGAATGGAGTATTACAGACACAATTATGAGGATAAAGTTCTGACAAAGTAACAACTTTATCGATTAGAGAGAAATGAATGAGTACATGGTAGAGAGAGGCAGCTCCTCTGCTCGCCTCGACAATAGACAATGGACTGGGGAAAGATAGAGGTATCTTCCTCCCAGAGAGTACAGATGAATCGAATTATTATCGGAACAGATATTAATTATGCGAGACATTGACTTTTAATCAGTTTGATGATGCGAGAACACAACAAAGACTCGAAATGTGGAGCCAGAGACGGCACAATGAATACTTTAGGTAGAGAATTTGGACTACAAACGTGTCTTCGTTGAGCACCCGCAAAGCCCTCAGCTCTTCGGGCGTAAGAGAACATTGGATTTTTCCATTATTGCTGCAATTTTGAAAAGAGAACGATGCATTTCATTGTTTTGTTAAGATGCCAAAAGTTTTATAATACAATACAATACAATACATATGCATAAGTACATTTATAAAGCTGAAAACGAATGTCAACAGATCGGTAAGATAAGAACAAACCCACCCTCTCCACCCCCCAGTGAAGCTTATCAATATTCCTCCAGGTGTTTTTCCCAAGAAATTATAAGATTGTGACGAATATTTATCTTAATTGCCGAGTAATTATCGGGTGAGCTGGAACCCACAATTAAAATTGATTGCTGCAATAATTAACTTGGTTTTCTCGAGGTTAAGCGCGTCCGAACTTGATCTCAATAAGTGATGGAGGGACTCATTCCGGCTAAGATGTTCCTGCCAGAACTGAACCCGTAACCCCCCACGTGTTGTCACCGCCGGCGTTTCATCATACTTCATATGTTTTCCCACTGATAAGCCGCGGATGATGATGCCATTATCAATATTATATTACAGGGGGAGAAAACAAAAACAAGCCATCAAATGTAAGCATTAAGTGCGTCATTAAAATTGCAAAAACAGGCAACGCACCGCACAGAAGTTTGCATAACTTGAACACTAATTAAACGTTGATTTTGGGACGAGTATAATCCCGATACTCATTAATAAAATTTACTTTTATGGAAATTTGATCAGAACACGCGACTCGCCGCTAGTTTCGAAAACTTTTCGCCGCTTCATCCATATTCAGCAGTCGAGTGTTTCGAAACTAGTTTCAAAATTAATCAACAAACATGTTCGGGGGCCTGAAGGTGGAGTTCCCCTCTGTATTGAACAATTTGCCAATTGCTGATATCTGTTGCCTTGAAACTAAGAGCAGATTATGGCAGGCAGGCTGGCGCAGTCCTATGTCAAGTTCAGGGAACACACCCGCTTTTAACAGCCAATCAGCGATTGCTGTTTCAATTGTTAACTGGGCCAAAAGGCTTGCATAAGCAGCCGGCAATCGCGATTGTTTATCAGTAAGTGGCGCTGGTCGTGTTGTTGGAACGGGAAGGGTCTGGTCTGGTCTGGTCTGGTCTTGTCTGGACAGCCCATCGATAGACAAGACCACACCGCTGTGGTCCGCGCTGTCGCCGGAGCCTAATCGTATGCAGATTGAAGATGTTTCGAATGAGGTTTTAATGACTTGCCCACGACCGGCAAATCACGCTGATAAGCCCCCACCAGGGGCCAAGCTACTGGAATACTGAAATGTCTTAATTTATACTCAAAAACGAAAAGCAGCGCCGCGATCTTGATATCAGCGGCAAGATCAAGGACAGTGCCTTCCTATGTGGCATTTGAATATGATTTGCTAAACTTAAATAACTTACGACGGTATAAAGATCGGACTTACAGCTGACTTTCCGGCGTGGCCAAAATGGGAATGATTTGTTTGGGCAAGAGGGATGCGGACTTATCACCGGCCTTCCCTTTTGGGTTCGAACAGCAATCTTTAGAACACATTTTGCAAGCAGTAATGTACGAGCAGTAGAGCTAGACCGAAATGTAGTTTTGAATCTGAGCAACAACTGGATGAAGTAAGTATATGTCAAAGCCTACTAGACTAGTAGCCTTCTCGATAGAAAGCGCCTTTTGTGACCCAAGATTGGTTGTGGAGGTGTGCAGATTTGTGGCAAACTTACAGCAGACTCTGCGGCGTGGGTATCACCTTCTCGGCAACAGCGGCGCCCTTGCCCTTCTTTTCTGTGCACGTATTGCCACCTTTTTGGGAGCCACCTGGTCCTCCGCAACAGTCCCGCGAACACATTCTGCTTGTGCGTAAGTGTATTAAACCAAAAGCCAGAAGATTAGAACCAAACAAATTTTGGGGAGAATTTTTTCGAATTTTGTGTGATATTCTAAGCCGAAACGTGTGCTTGAGGCAACTGATATTTAGGAATAGTAGAGACATAAAACCAAGAGAAATTAATAGCAGAGCCTACTCAGGCAAACAGGGGTTAGCTGAGAACCCAAAGGCATATCGATTTGGGCCGTAAAAGCAGGTCACAGACAAGTTCAAAGCACAGGGAAGGTGGCCAGGTGCAAACCAGAGAGGTGGAGGAGGAGGTGCAGGTGCAGGAGATGGAGACGGAGAAGTACTAGTGGGCTAACGGGCTAAGAAAGTGGTCTGGTCTGCCAGTGGCCCGGTGGCCCCAGAAAGCATTAAGCGCTAGCTACGCAATGTGCCGACAATTATTGGAACTTTCAATTATAGTTGATTGAACTTAACGAGTTGGTGGCGTGAGTGATGGCTCACGAACCATCTTTCGCCTGGACTCGACTCCAGAGGAATGCCGTCTGCGAGTACTTACGTTTGGTTCTCCTGCGCTAAGTCGTCGGCCTGCCTGTCGCCGTTGCCGTTGCCGTTGCTGCTGCTGCCATTGCAGTGGCCGTTCCGATGGTTGCCATTGCTGGTGGCCATATCGCCTTTGGCATTGTACCCCGTCATTGTGTGGATGTGAAGGCTTTTGTGTCTGCTGCAATTATATAAGTCTGCCCGCCTGTTGACCTTCCGTCCGATCTGCTGTTGCTCCGGTTGCTGCTTCTACTGGTTATGTAAATATTTCGCGTTGCAAATTAATTTCAAATCGGACGGCGGCTGTGTTTGGTTTTCTTTCAAAAACAAAAATTCCAAACTAATTTAAAAATCAGGAACTGGAATCTGTTTTGTAGTCTCGTTACGCTCCACAAGCTGAAAGTTAAGTGTGTGTGGTATTTTCGCGGTCCCGAATCGGTTATCGGCTATTGTTGACTGCTCAAGCGGTGATTCTTGAATGAACGGTTCACCGGACCGAAGGGGCTCTTATAAACGAGGCGGGACACGAAGCCGAAACCGAACCGAAGCGCAAGCGTCTCTGCCAACGTCTTCATAGAACCCTCCATAGCTTGAGCGGCAGATGATATTGCTGCTGCTGATGCTGCGCAGTCGCTGTTGCTGCTTGATTGTTCAGCATTTAATTTATATATACTATTGTATTGTACTGTATTGTATGGCCGGAATTGTGGCTTTGCTTTTAACTAAATTGAATTGAGCGAATTGAAAGATTTCATCAAACTACGGGCAACGAAGCCAAGAAAGAATAACACTTCTAGTGTTTAATGTATGATTAGGTGGGTTTGTTTACTGATGGTTCCGCAATAGCCACACAGACGATAAGAATCTGGGCTGTTTGCCATTGAGTCATCGATATTGCCATACGTTTCTGCAGTCAATGGCCGAGTCATGTCGGAAGTAAATGCAACTCTCCGACCTAAAAGAAAAGGGATTCACACGTTTAAGAGGGACTTCGAAGAGATAGAAACAGAAGTCATTCAAACCAAAAGCCATGCCACAGCTCCAGCCCCAGCCCCAGCCCCAATTCACTTTGATCTTTTGATCTTCAAACATAATAATAATCATGATGAAGTTATTTTTAAACATAATATTCGAAACATGCCACTGGCCGAGAGCAATATCAATTTTTATTTGCCTGCTTAACCTTTTGCAACGCTTATCATTTAGACAGACGGAAAGTTTTCCTAGATCATCAGTTTCTAGGGCTGCTGCCCGACACCCCCAGACAAGCGAAAGCGCATTCTGTAATACAGAATGCAATTTGAATCACCCAGCAACGGCCACGGCAATGGCAACTAGCAACCAGCAACTACAACCCAGTCATCTAACAGATAACAAATCAATCCCAGGAAACTATAGCCCTTGAGGCACCTCAACAATGATTGTCGCCGACAATTCTGTTTCCTACACAAATGGTGCCAAAACCAGCTCTATTTCTCTCCCCATTGATTGCTATTCGAGCATCAGTGATAAGAAAGAAGCATTATTGTGTTATCGCTTCGTGTGGGGTACGGTAGCGTGTTGTTGTGATCTAAGCCACAGTGCCAGTGACCCCCCAGGCATTGCCTTACACCGACAGAGATGGCTCTTAATTCAGTAAACAACTTTATGGGCTTTACGAGTGTAAAAATCGCGCGCCGAATGCAATCATTATCAGATTGAAAATGCAAAATAATGCTCGTATTTTGACTGGGCTGATCAGCAGACGCTTACATAAGCCCCTGACCAGCCAAACGGTTTGAATGTATCTCAAACAAAAAAAAAAAAAAAAAAAAAACTCAGTCTCTGACGTGCTATGGCCCAAACAGACCCTTCGAAAGCAATCTAGTTGTTCCGAAACAGCCCTTCGGCTGCCAAGTCATGTTATTGAAAATATATATTCCATTTTCGCTGAATTTTGCTTACGTCAAAAGTGGACAATTTAATCATTTAAAAGATTACTTTAAAAGAAAAAAAAAAACGAGAGTCGAGCCTTAAACACTCTTTCTTTTAAAAACATTTTTGAGCACCTCTCTTGATTTTCTCTCTTAAAAACAACACACTTCGGGAAACACTTAAACATTGACCTCTGCACAACACGATGCAGATGCAGGCCACGAAAGAGATTTGGAAAATTCCATGATGATAAGAAAAACCAAAACTCCAATGAAAATATGTCCCATTCATGTTTCTGTGGAAGATTCCGCTGTAGATGCATCCGTATCTGCATCTGTTGGTGGCATCTTTCGCTGCAGCTATAGGAAAACAGGAAATCTCATAGATATTGACCTGCGCACACAGCAAACACCAAAGTGGGAATCTTTCTCTGGCTTGCGGCATCATTGATCAACGTCTGCGGGGCACGGCACACAAACAACCCATTGAAAGCCGACCGTTCCGTGTGCCTATGCTGTGCAACGCAGGCAGATAACAGATTAAAGACCGAGTAAACAACTATGTATGTATGTATTTCACGTCATATGTATTTAGATTTATTTTGGAGTATATTTATTAGCATTGTTTTTGTGATTTATTATATTCCGTATTCCATGATTTGTAAGGTTTTTCTTGTTCCTGTTTTGCGAGTTCCACTTCGACTTCCCTTCGCTAATTGCATTGTTTTCTTGAATAATAGGTTCATAGTCGCGGTAATTGCAATGCTCCTTACTGGAAAGCTGTTTCGAAATGACCTTTTACAATATTTTGGAATACAATTAGACGCATAAGAACGGTTTGCTGATATCCGATAACATATAGAATTTAATATTATGGCAACACATAGTCTCAGGCACACAACCTATTTTTCGAACGTATGTAGAACTCAAGAGTAAGAAACCAAAAGAAACTCAGGAATCGGTAATCAGGAAGGGAACAAACCAAAGTTATAAGCACTGATATTTTATTTGGAAAAACAAGATCTTTTGAAAAGGGCTGAAGGATGTAGAAGTACCATTGACAGACTCCCTCAACGGATGAGACCCCGCCCTATGAATCGAGGCCACACAACCCAAACAACTTTGCTTGCAAAAATGTTTACCAAATGAAGAGACAAATAAATATGTTTAGAAAATGTTTCGAAATCTACAAGCAAAACTGAATAAATGTTGAATATCTAATGGGTAATATAATTTTCATGAATAAGGCATTTGCGGGGCATTTAAATGTTTCAACGTATTCGTGACAAAGGACGACAGGACGACGGGTTCGGGGCCCGGAATGGTGGTGGGGTCTTCGGGCGCAGCACCCCATCCATTTATCTGGATGTTTTTTATTGGGCAAATGTCCTGCTCTGTTCGGCAATTCTGGTTTTGGGACGGTTTTTCGCAATGAAAAAGGCACGAATGTGTTCTGTAGGTGTTTTTTACATTTCGTTTGTGTTATATGCGACTGTCTGCCCCTACTCTTTGAGAATTTCGGGGCATCAGCTAAAAATTACTCTTTTCTTTTATCATTTTAATTGTTTAAACTTTACGAATTCTCAACTGGTTTGATTATTATATATGTATTTTGGTTTTGTTTTGTTTTGTGGTGTAAAAAACTCTTACAAACAATTACCCAAAAATAAACTTGTAACTGAAAAACATTCTCAAAAAAACAACAATATACTTATGTATATTTTTTTAATACGTTTTGCGGCGTAGCACGTGTGTGCCCCCGGGAACTGGTTTTCGTTTGGTTCCGTTCCCAGTAATTCGCGGAAGTGCTGGCAGCACGACGTGCCGCGCCTTCAATTTGAATTTGAATTTGATTTAATTTCATTTCATATTCTTCATTAAGGATTTTTTGTCGTATTATTATTTTGTTGTAAGTTAATAACGGTTGATTTTTCTTTAGGTTTTTCTTTGGTGGCACTGTTTAGAGGCGAGCTTTTCAAAAGCTATATTAAGGACTTGCGACGAGACGAGTGAATGCACATGCGGTGAATATGCGCTGCCGGCCGTGGGCTTCCAAGGGGCACGCACCTCCATGAAGGCGGCGGCGCCCGCCTGGCCCCGGCCGGGGTCTTAAAAGTCAAATAGAGAGACAGAGTGATAGAGAGAGAGAGATATTGAAAGAGAGTATTCGTACTATATACGTATGTCGATAAGTATTATATATGCTAATTGTGTAATCAAAAACAAGGACTAGTTGCTAAATTTTGGTTTCTCCTCGATAAAATCAAAGTTGTAATGGTTGTGGGGTGGCCATCGACAGGGGCTGGGGCAAACCCTAGAGGGAGTGGAAGTTGTGGAGAATGTAGGCGAACGGTTAACCTCCATATGTATCTAGATTTATTGCAACATTTCGAAATTAAAAGGTAAATTAAACTACGTACACAACACAATTACACAAAAAGTTAAATACAAAATACAACTACTAAAAGCTCTAAAAATTACAAAAAAAAAAGAAGAAAAACAAACAGAAAGAAATAGGTACAGTCACGCACTCACACACACAAAACATAGGTACTACTAGGCTAACGAATAGATATCGCTCTTGTTTGAAACTGCTGTCTTCTTTTGTTTTTCATTTTTGTTTTTGGCTGCTTAACAAAAATTTGGGGTGGACATTTTGCATTGTTTTGGCTGCTTAAACTGCACAGAAAGATGGTCTTATCCCTTTGAGACTCTCTGGCGGTATAGCAATTGCTGTTGTTGCTGTTATACTTGAAGAACAGTCCTTCAGTGCTCGGCCGGCCACTTCCTGTACGGCAAAACATACACATTTTTGATAGCTTCTTCTCTACTTAAGTACTTAAATGACTTTCAGGCATAGCATACAGTAAAATACTTTAGCATTAATTTTAGGGAGTGGATATACAGATATATAGATAGTTGCACACACATACACATAGTACATAGATCCATAGATGTCTTGACAAATATAATGCACATACACATATAAGGTATGTCTATATCTCTAAAGTCTAGAGTCGAATATTATCGAAGAATATTATAGATGAACAAAAAAAATGTAGACACACTGTTAACTTAAACGATATTACAATAGGTAGGTAGTATTATAATATGTATATTTTATCAGAGTTATAATTAATTAATTATTAATCATATATCGTACTTTTATTTGAAGCTGGCTGTTATGCCACGTTTCGTTTCAAGTCTGTTCAGCGAATTCCTTATCTCTTGTTTGCATTTCGTTTGCATTTAATTCAAAAATGGTTCTTTTTTGGTTTTTGGTTGGCTTTTAAAAAACGAATTCCTTTTGTTTTTGTATGTTAATTAATCATAAAAATCAGTCAGTCCAACGCCATTTTGTAGTTAGTGTTACTTAGCTTCTTCTTTTGGTTGTGATTTCTTGGTTGTCTGAAGGATGTTCGAGTGCATTTCATTTTTCTGGTGGTTGGTGGTTGGACCCTTGGGAAATGGGTTTGTTCCGCTGGCCTGCTTTGCTACTCTCCTATCGCTCCTGACACTCCACTCCAGGCTGCTTCCTTCCTTTGCATGTCCTTTTCTTTTAGAATA